GTGATTTACAATGCAAATTCCCGAAGAGATTTTTATTCCCGCCCCAAGAAGATACGTTTCGTTAAAGGAAGGTACCAAATAAGGTATTTATTTTCTATATTCCATATTTATAATATTCATTGTTGCAAAAAAGTCTTCATAATGCTTGTGGAGATAATAACTTTAATTAAAAATACGCTGTGCATTACCAAGGCTTTCTGTGTTATGTACTTCATGCCTTAAAAGAACAGTTTTTCTGATGGCAGATTAATCAAAGACAAGATGCATGTGATAAAAACCGATTTTAGTTTACAAGGTAACTTATTATTGCACATGCACCAGTATTTTAGCGATCTTTTCCATACAATAATAACTTTCTTTGTTCTTTCTATATTTTCTTATTTAGAAAATTGATACTGTTACCGATTCTTTGTTTATTGGATCAGTTAACAAATTAATTTTCATTGGTAAAAAAAAAACTTGGTATAGACTGAATGAACGCACACGATAGGACATTAGAGATTCAGGTCAACACATTTTTTTTGTGCTTTTACAGAATATTACAGAACCTTACAGAACCTTACAGAATATTACTGAATATTACTGAATCTTACAGGATATAATATTAAAACACAGAATAGTACGGAATATTTACAGAATATTTAGAATATTTAGAATATTTACAGGATATAATCAAATTGATTCTTTAGATGATAGCAAGAAATAGGTACTGTACGTACGACAAAGCACAGGCCAATTTTCATTATTAAAGATGTATCCGTTACCGTTGTTTTAAATGAAATAATCGTTTTTATACGCATGGCTTGGAAATTAAATCTATGTGACCACGTGCGTATAAAAAAAAAAGGTGCGTACATACGTATGTGCCAATTACCAAACGTCCTACATTTAACTCAATCTTTGCAAAATATATATATATAGATTTTATATATATATCTACATATGATATACATTTCTATACATGTATATATATATCAGAGATATATATCAAAGATATTATATTATCAAAGATATTCTATTATAAATAATTATAAATAATTATAAATAATTATATTTATTATTTATTATAATTATTATAATATGAATATAATTAACCATGACTGACATATGCACTAAAGAAATTTAAAATTTTAGATGAAATTCTTGCGTAGCTGCGTAATCAGACCGAGTATCATATTTTTGTGTACGATTACACTTCTGGAAGGTCGGCGTTATGCAATTCTTTTATAATTCACCAATAACCAATAATTATTGTTCGTGTAGGTAAATATCAATACGCCGTGAGAGTTCTCCTCAGACTTGCTAATGCAACTAAAGGTATACAAAAAGTATACACAAAAAGTATACACAAAAGTATACACAAAGTATACACAATGAGGATACAAATAACTACGTACGTACAACATGCCTACATTACATTTTTGTTTGTTTGTTTTTGACAATATAACTATAAATAAAATAAATTGCTAACCGGTGAAAAAACTGTTACGCCAAAGGTTATTCGAAGTTTTTTTTTTTTTATTACTTTGTAATTATTAAATTAAATTTATTATTCTTGTGCTATTTAGTAAAAATTTCTTCCTTGGGGTACTTGCATGTATAACATATTTATCATATTTTGATTTTTCGGTTACCCACTTTTGGGAATATACATGCACGTCAAGTTTAATACCGTTTGCTTGTTACCAGGTTTGTCTATTAACTTAGCGCGTACCAACCACCTGGAAATCCGATAATCATGGGAATTTTCAAAATCTTTCTATGTATCAATTGAGGCGTATAGGATTAATCTCAATTCATTCTAGGCCTAGGAAAAACTTTTGAAAAAAATGTGCATCTTGTGACCTCAATTTTCTGCAGTTATTGAGCATAGATGTTTAAATTTGCGTTGCTCATTGGATATTTAACGCATGCAAGCATAATTCACGCGGAATTGGTGAAATTAAATGCATCGATTTATAGGTTTACCTATCAAACTCAATCGTATTTAAATATACAATTTAAAGTTTGTTACCATGTATTAAAGCTTTTTTCGTGACATTTAAAAGTCAGGAGTTCAAAAAATGATGTAACTTTTATATTGTACTTTTTTTTTTTTTTTTTTTTTTGACAGTGATACATGATAAACACTGGAGCATACAATGAGCACAGCAGTATCCATTATACTGTAAAGCATTTAGACGTCCCAGGTTTAGTATTTTCTATATTACCTAAGATCTATTTTTTATTGTTCTGCAAAAGTGCATGAACTCGTACAATGTTCATGTGTAAAAGACATCTCCCGATTGTATTTGACGATTGTCTACATATAAATGGTACAATTGTTCAAATTTTTATTCGACACTGTTTATCGAAGAAGGCAACTAACAAAGAAAAAAAATTTACATTATAATATGTAAACAATACCCCCCCCTGTTGTGTTAACACACCATAATATTACTTTTCCAAGTTATCGTATAATGAATGATATTGTTATCGGTTACTACCAATTATTGACAGTGATTATTAACAATTATTATTTGACAATTACGTATTAACAGTGGTTTTTAACAATTATTATTAACAATGATTATTAACAATTATTAACAATGGTTTTTAACAATTATTATTAACAATTATTAACAGTGGTTATTAACAACAATTATTATTTGACAATTACGTATTAACAGTGGTTTTTAACAATTATTATTTAACAATTATTATTAACGGTTATTGATGGTTATTGACGTTTAAGTGACTAATAAATTAAAAATCACATGACTAATATAAAATACTACCGGCTTTAGACTGGATTATTGTGTACGTATAAAGAATTCATTATTATCGTTATTGTCATTGTTATCATCATTATTATTACCAAACATGTTATTTATATTTATTTATTTATTTCTAACAGCATATATATAAGTATATCATATACGCATTTATTAATTTATATATTTAAATCGAAAATACTTAAAACAGGTAATTTAGTTAATTCAACTAATTCTGTTAAAGTTCTAGAAAAAAAAATTGTCTAAACCGAGATTTTCTTCATAAACATATATAGCTTTCATAATCTATGTCTCGCGGATGTTGTACGAGCAAAGTATCGCGGATGTTGCACGAAGGTCTCGCGGACCACGTCACACGAAGATCTCGCGAACTGAGTATTATATAATTTAGATAAATAGTATTACAAAGGATGATCTGTTTTGTTTGATTTCAAAATTTACTATATTATATCATTTAAATTGATTAAATGTTATTAATTTAGTCGTATATTGTCAAATCAAAAACTTAAAATTTATTATGTTTTAAATATTTTAGATTTTAATATCAACTAATCGATTGAAGTTACATCCAGTTTTGTTCATATTTGGAATATTTTTGTACACTTATTTACACTTATCTACATTTACCAAAAAAAAAAAATATATAGTTAATATTCCAGTTAATTCACTCATTAATTAAATTCATTACACATAATTGTGACTCTGATCTTATCATCACTCACCAACAATAATGAATTCTTCCGATATATCCAGGTGTTCGTTTAACCAAATATAAATTTTTTTTATATTAAGCATAATAAATTTTGAAATTTAAAAACATGCAGCTGTCACTTCATACAGATGTCGTTATATGTCGTTATGCTGTAATTAGAGTCATATGTAATTAATTAATTAATTTATTAACTAATTTAATTAATTAATTAATTAAATTAATTAAATTTCATAATTAGTAATCGTAATATTAATCCCTATTTTATTTTTTTTTTCAAACAAATTTTAAATGAATTTAAAAATGAATTCAAATGAATTATAAAAGAATTCAAATAAATTCAAATGATGTGAATCTAAATGAATTTAAAGTGAGTTGATTTAACTGAATTCAAGTGAATTCAAGTGAATTCAACAAGTAAATATGTTTTATTATTGAATTTTTTTGTGGTACAATTAAGAACCACCTATGTATGTTCGTGTAATTTTATACAATTCCTATCGAAAATTTTAGAGGTTCCTATTAATGGGAATGCATAAATGCTTTTATACAGTATTTCATCCAGTAAAAAAAATGAAATGCATCTCGACTTGATGCCATATTGTACATTATTCAATTAAATTATAATACATCTACACAATGTACGATGCACTCTCCTTTATCTTACTTGTTACGGTGCGCTTACCTTTGCATATTTTCAACGGGGGTTATTACTTAAATTCGGCCACATAGTACCGTGACATCATGTTCGTACTTACTCGGAAATTAAATCAGTGGCGATTCCGAGGAGCTGGCGCGTATTATAATACATCTCTCTAAATAGATGAAATGGATGTCCGTAAGTATTACAAAAGCTTTGAAATTTCGAGTTCCCTTAAAAAACAACATACTTATGGACAAATATATATGTAAATGTAGAGAAACAAACTGGCGTTAATTTAACCTTTTTTGGTTCTTGAGGCCACATATTGTTTGTAAATCTGTAATTCAATTATTTGTATCTAAAATGCTTATATAAAAAGGTTCGTTTAGTCAATTCGTTTTTTTTTGCGTACTCTTTACGTTTTGTCCATTTTCTACGTATAAAAACTTTTCTGGTTTTACAATATAGATTATATATAAATATTATCTGATTTGTAAATATCTTTTTACTCTCCTTTCCAGATTAAAAAGTAAGTACTCGGAATTTTAGAGGGTACCTCAAAAAAAAAAATTTTTTTCTTTTTTTCTTTTTTTTTTTTTATAGGTCTACCTCAAAAAGTTCTTATTTAATGCTAATTCTTCTTTATTGTCTTTTTTTTTTTTTTCTTCCTCGTAATCTATAATCTCATTAATAGATAGAAATATTTTTCATTCTTTACTTTTTCAAATTTTTTCAAATTTTTTCAAATCTTTTTAAATCTTTTTTAAATCTTTTTAAATCTTTTTTAAATCTTTTTAAATCTTTTTAAATCTTTTTAAATCTTTTCAAATCTTTTCAAATCTTTTAAATCTTTTAAATCTTTTAAATCTTTTAAATGGATTCGAATAACAGTAACAACCTCACTCCTGATTATATTGAATTAGCCACCGGTGGATCTTACATGCAACACCAACGCCCTCTAAATCCAATTACCACTTCCTTATCAACCCCTCCAATCATTACCACTGCTTACAATGGAACCAATGGTAATGGTGCTGGTGGTGCCATCACTCCCCCTCCCGATTCAAGTCGTTCCTCCGGTGCTCAACCTTTGCGAATCGCTCCCGCTCAATATTCAAACATAATTCCAACTAATTATGTAAATATATCCAATAATTTGGCTGGTTTACCCGGATTTCAACTCCAAAATATTGCTGCTCAATGTTGTTTGCCAAATCAACAATATTTTACTAATGATACCAGTAACCAAAATAAAATCGTTTCGGTCTCTAAACAGAATATTCAACCTAATGCTCCTTGTGATGCAAATAGCTCTGCTCGTCCTCCATCGTTACAACAACAAGAACGACCAGAATCAATCGTATTTTTGTATCAAATCCCAAATGATTCAAAAATTTATCTTGTTAAATGTGTTGAGGTTTCTCAACTTTTGGACACTGATTATCATTCATTGGAAGGAATTTTGCACAATAGATCTCAACAGCAGCAACAAGTACAACAAAATTTAAAAAATCATTTACAACAACATTTACAAACCCGTTTACAACCACCACCTTCCCAACAACCTCTCCTTTATCAACAACAACAAATTACCCTTCAACAAAACCAAATTAGACACCATCCTTATCAACAACGTCAATCTCCTAAAGAATCCGTTCATAATACTATTGGTGGAAAAAATGTTAAAACCCCTGCTTCAAATAATTTTCAGGCAAACATTAATAATCAAGAAATATCCCAATTTAGTGTTGATATGAACAACGCTGGAAATTTTGATATGATGATCCCAATGTCTGCTACGCCTGGTGCCCCTTACATGGTTACACCATCAGCCACCCCAACCATGAGGAATGATCATCTTGGAAATAATATGGAATATTGTGTAAGCTTGTTGGCACAACAACAACAAATGCTCACTGCTTCTACTATTTCAACGCAACAGCAACAAGTTTTTGATACTCAATATAAAAAATAAAATAAATTTATTATATGATTATTATTTTTTTTTTTTAGAACTTTTTAAGATTTGAAAATTTAAATTTTTTTGTATCGCATCCGTTTTCGCCATAAATAGAATTGGATGCATCTATGTGCAAATCTTATTTTACTTATGCGTAGACACGAGTCTCGATTCCATTATTTTTATGTTAAATTGAAAGTCTTTACCAAAACTTTTGTTATTGCTTTTTTTTTCACATGCGGTTTTTTTAATTATGCACAATAAGCCTCTTTTTTTTATGTCTTTGTGGATATGAGATAATCATATGTTCCTTCGTTCTTTTGTGGGATTATTTACTGTCTTCCTTTTTTATTTTATTTATTTTTTTTTCTTTGCGTTGATCCATTTTCCAAAAAAAAAAAAATACAAACTTGATTTTTCTAGTTTTATACTTTTATAGAAATGGTTTTCAATCCCACTTTTTTGTTTCCATTTTCCACTCACTTGGTCTTCCATTAAATTTCTAATTTGGTTTCTTTTAATTTTCGTTTTTTTTTTTTTTATTATATCGTTTTCTTTTTCGTTTTCGGTTATTTTTTCATTCTTCTTTTAATAACTCACGTTGATATCGTTTTTTTTTTCTCTCTTTTGTCGAACCTGAGTGTATATTTCGGTATATACAAAAAAACAGGATAAAATATCCACTCTATTTGTAGAAAAAATCGAACGTAGATTATTTATATCTCGTACAATTCAATTTTATGAATCAACAAATGAAAAATTCCAAGAGTTTTGATTCCTATCCAAAGGAATTTTAAGACTCTTGTAAATATGGTATGCCTTTATATGGTACGCCTTTTTTTTTTTTATAAGCAATTTACCTTTTTTTTTTTTTATAAAAAAAAAAAAAAAAAAAAAATACTAGAGATCTTTACACCAAAGATCTTATTTTTTATTCTTTTTTTTTTTCTCTTCTATTTTTCTTTTTTCTTTTTCTGGGGGCAAATAGTTGTTTTTTTTTCGCTTTTTTTTAATGAGAAAAATACGTAATAAAGATTTTTCTCTTTATTTGGTCTGTGATCATAATTTAATCAGACCTTATGAAAGTTTTAGAAAATTGTTATTTGTATTTTTTTTTTTTCCGCTGTTTCTTATTCGCGTATTGCCTCTTGCCCATTATTATTTTTCTTTTTTTTTTATGTAATGTGATGTATATATATATATATATATGTAGTGTAAATATTTATTTTTTTTCTTTTATAAAACTGTCTATATCGTAATTCTATATCGTGTCGTGTATTATCGTGTTTTTTTTTCAAATGATTTTTTTTTTATAAAGTTTATTAAGCCAATTAACGTATCAGGCTTGAATATTGTTAACATAATCGCGACAAAATATATACATATAATCATATAATGATATATACATAGTTTATATTACATTCTAACTAAATGCAATCCTAACTAAATTAAACTCTAAAAAAAAATGCATGTTATATTCAAATTTAGTTACATTTTTATTATCATCTCGATAATATTGAATTTCTTTCAAGTTATATCTATCCTTACAACCTAAAATAAAAAGATACCACTCTACCTTATAAGTTAATCTCACTTTGACTTACCTAGATTAAACTTTCCCTCTCTTTTCACATCTCAAGCATACTTAAGCATAATAAAATTTCCCAAATCCTAAATCTCAAGTATAAGAATAAAACTCCCAAATCCTAACCTCAAGCATAATAAAACTCCCAAGTCCCAGGGAATTTTTTGCCGATTTTCCGACGCAGTTAATCGTAATGCAATAAAATGTAAAAAGTATCGATATTTGATAGAGTTGGTATGCATACATTGTACACAACTTTAATAATATACTAGTTTCCGGGAATGTCCGTGACCAATCAGATAATTAACGCTAGATATTTAAATAACTAGGACCCTGCCTTATCAAGATCGATACTTTTGCGAAGATGTTAATGTAAAGTTTTTCCCAAACTTTACCAAAATTGGTTAGGATTGACAAGTATAATGATCTCAAAGCGATAGATCGATTTTGACTGATTGAAAATTTTTGTATTGTCATTAAATTAACATATACAATCAACTCTAAATGCACGACCTCTAATTGCAGCTTTCTGTTTAGTCATTAAATGCAGCCTTTGTTCTCGAGAAGAACTTTTGTTCTCTTTAAATGAAAAATTTTTATTGTATGATTCTATCAAGGTAAAAAAAAAAAAATTTTTTTGTCGTCAATTAATAATAAACTATAGCTATATTAGCGATAATTGTAAATACTAACTAAAAAATATCATCCACTCTAAATTTTCGACTTTGACTTCGACTTAAAAAAAAAAAAAATTTTTTTTTCAAAGCAAAAAATATTCATCTATTTACTTATCCTATCTTATTATTTATCTATTTAATTGTATTTTTTTTTTTTTTTTGTTTTTTTTTTTTTGAGTTTTCAAAATGGTTAATCCGAATATATATTTTTATCAAATTAACGTTCATACCAAAATTCAATAATTTAAGTAAGCAATCACATAATCAATCTGAGAAGAATTCTCAACTGTTTCGAAAACTGTAATAATGTCCCAATAAAACAATTATACTGTAATTATAAACTTTAAAAACAAGAAAATAGATAAAAAATAGATTCGGATTAATATCATTTCGAAAACTGCAAATGATAAATCATAAGGTGATTACGATGATTATCAATTTTTAAAATAACAACAATAATAATAAAAGATAATAATACATGGGGTATGTTTAATATATTATTACAATGTATTTAAAAAAAAATAAATTTTTTTTTTATACTCTATATTACCAAATACAAGCAATCAAAAAATTGGGATTTTCGCAATCTAAAAAGTTGAAAAGTGTTGCTTACATTCAAGTTTAATTTATTAGTAAAACAACAACTGCAATTCAAAATCGGAAGGATAGCTTTTTATTCGGTGGTCGGTAATACATACCACTAAATTTAGTTATCTACTGTATATCGATATAGAAAATTGGCTTTGCTTCTATCTTTTTGTTTATCTTTTGTAACTTATATATATATATCAGATTTTTATAAATTATTAATTTTAATTTTTAAATTATTTAAATTATACTTCAAAAAATATATATATATATACTGTATATATGTTTATATTAAATATTATATATAGTTTTAATTTAACTAATAACAAAACATACTTGTTAGATATAGTAGCCTTTGTTATTTAAAATAAAAAAATATAAAATTTATATACTATATATAAAATTATTTAATATATTGTATAGTATAATATATAAATTTGCAAAATTGTATAAACCAATTTAGTATATAGTAAATATATATTTATTAAATCTTATAAAAAATTTAAAACTTACTTATAAAAATATAAATTAAATTTATCAAAATAATTCTAGTTAAAAAAACTTCAAACATATACTAATTATATATATATATTAGTATAATTTGTAAATTTTGTTAATACAAATTAAAAAAATAATTTGCTTAAAGTTAAATTAAAATTAGTATTTAAAGTTTAGGTTAAGATATAATTTATATTAAAATTTTTTACAGTTTTTTTTTATTAAAACTTTTAAAAAATAGATTATTAATAAAATTTAAAGTTATACAAATATTTGTATTTAAAATACTAATATACAAATAAAATCTTTTTTATATATAGTTATTTATATAAATATTTATTTAATTTTATAAAATTAATATTTTTTTTATATTTAACTAATTTTATTAGTTTACTTTATTTATATATTAAATTTTATACAAAATTTTTTTAAAATTAAATTTTGTATTAGAATCTTATAATTATTTTTATAAATATCTATAAGCAACCTGCTTGTATTAGTTAAATAAAATTAAAAGTATTGTCAATTTACTATTTCTTTATTATTATTATTATTATTATTATTAAGACTGATGTTAATGTTTACTAATGTCTTTATTTGTGCTTTTAGTAAATACATTATATATTATTTATACAGAATGAGCATACAACTAGCTATATATATAACTTTTGATTACCTATTTAAGTAGTCTGCTTGAGAGTTTTATACTAGTTGCTATATTTATAATCTACTAGAAGACTATCTAATTAAACATTCTGGTTTCTATATTGCATCTAGACAATTAGCTACATCAGTTTCTGTACACCTAAGTGTCATCTAATTTAATATTTTGCCTCTCTTCTATACATCTGTTAAGCTATTACTCAATTTCAGAGCATGTTACCTAATTATAAGGCTTAGGAAGCTTTTTTGTTAACTATCTACTTATTTTATGAAACATTAACAAGGCTTGTTCTTGCAGAATACATTCAAACCTTAACATTTACTTTATAATATATCTTTAGTATTTTTAGTATATCTTTGTTTTTTCTCTAAACTCTTAATTTAGATAGTCTGATAAAATTATAATCAGTCTATTAGTATATTAGATCAACCTGATATCCTTTTCTTCTGATCTTTATGTTTGAACTTTCAGCAGTCTAGTTGGTAATACTCTTTATCTAGAGGTTTTTGCCCATACAGATACTCTATATTGATATCTATTTTCTAGATTTAGCTTTTATAGTAATATTATTAAAGATCTGTATTACTTCTCTATTCAGGTTTTTCCAAATAGGTTTTTTGTTTTTCTTTTTTTAATGTTAAGGTGAGTACATGTGACCCAGGATTTTACTGATAGTATAAGTTGGCCAGCACCTGTACATGTACAGACAC